CTATTAATTTGAAAATCATAGTGAAATACCAAACGATAGAAATCATAGCTTCATTCCAAAACAATCTAATAAGCCTACGTCTACGTGTTGTTGCTAAACTAAGTCGGGCCATTTCCTGTTCCAAAAAGCATAAGTTATTAACAATGATCAAACAGTAGCAGAACTTGAAACCAAGTTAGAAAGAAAAAGGGAAAAGAAAGAAAGAAGCAACATAAATTGAAACCAAACAGTAGATCTCATCTCAGCAYGCGCATAAAGAAAGACAACAGTCAACAGTCAACTAATCCCTTTGATAACTATCTGTACATTCTGTTTATAGTAGCTTATTATACCATTCCCTTTTTCGTTAACTATCACAGGAAGTCCCATTTTTAAAAGCTATAAACAAAGCTAGAAATAAGTAATAAATGAGAGAAGAACTTGAAATATGCAGTCCCCATAATACAGTAGCATAAAAACAGAAGAACTYGAACTGTAGAACTTGAAATAGAAGCAGAAATCGGTTCAAAACAGAAGCAGAAATCTGTTCGAAACAAAAGCATAAATCGGTTCGAAGCATAAGGAAGAAAGCAATACCTGTTCGAAGCAACAACGTTCACTTGAAGATGAAGAAGGAAAATCGTTCGGTTGAATCTGGTCGATGAAGGAGAAGGTGAAAGTCTGGTCGACGAAGGAGAAGGTGAAACTGGAAATGAAGAAAAGAAAGTAGCGGCTAGGGTTTAAAGAGATCAGAAGGGTATTTTTGTCATTTATGTAAATTTGGAAGGAATGGATTTTAATTCCATCTTATTTACTAAGACTATCCACATTCACAATCTCAACCAATCCAATCTCAAATTAAAATATTACTTTCTCTCTCATCTACCTTATAATATTCGACTCCAATCCAATCTTAAAATTTTCACACTCCAACCACAATATTCTACAATTCAATCTCACCTATTATATTATTTTATAAAATTATATTTTTTATTTTTTATACTCATAATTATTATTTTTTAACTATAAATATGTAAATAGATAAAACGAATGAACAATTACCTATTTTGAAACATAATTTTAATTATAAAAAAACTTATCATACAACTGAAATTAGATTAAACAACATATAAAAATAAGTACGAAATTACATATTTGAAATACATAAATAACCGTAGTTAATTATTTTGACCAAATTTTTGACGTATATGCTCAACCAAATCATTTTTTAGGGCGTTATGAGCTTCCCTATAGCGAAGTTGTTCCCTGTTAGTCATATAACAGGATAGGTTTGCAATCCGTTCAGTAGAAAATTCAGTTGATTGACCATCATCTTCTGTAGAGCTTCTTTGTTCTCCGTTTGTGGGCATGTCGTTAATAAACTCAGTAGGATCATAATAAGTTTGGTATGTACCTCGTTCATCKTCAACTATCATATTATGCATGATGATACAAGCAATCATAATTCGTCCCGTTAGATGTCTGTCCCAAACAAGACATGGTCGTCGAATAAATGCAAAGCGAGCTTGTAAAACTCCAAATGCTCGTTCAACATCTTTTCTACATGAACTACAAAAGATTGTGATGCCTTACCTTTTACTTTTTTCTTTGTCGCATCTCTAGCCATAGGACGTTGAACTTTTGAACCACCATCACTTGGCGATTCTTTGTTGGTTTCAACAGAGTAATCTCCTTCTTCTGAAGTTCTTGATCTTTTTGTKCTTCCACCACTTTCTTCATCATCCACTTCATATACAGGGCGAGAACGTGTTGTGTTACTTTCTAAATCTAAAGCCCATTTGGGATGTTTACACATAACTTCGTTATAAACATACAACTCATTAAACTTGCTCCCACCCTCCTHAAAAATTGAATGAGCCTGTTTCTCAACATCTTTCATACTCATTCCGCTCCTTTTCTGCCGATATGCCTCTCTATACGCAGCAACCCATTTGTTTGCAGCTTCATTAATTCGTGCATAACGACTTTTCATTTGATTTTCGTTCCTGATGCCYAGTCCATCTTGATTTTCAGCACGAGTTTCGTCATAGTATTCTTTTACTCGTGACCAGAATGTCTGTTTCTTCTGGTTTTTGCCTCGAGTAGGTTCTTCACTAA